CACAAGTTTCAAAATCTCCCCTCCCCCCACCGCATCCCAAAACCAGTCCAACTCGTCCCTGCCTCCCTAACCTGTTCTTCCTCCCACCTATCCCCTCCTCCCACCCCAAGCCGCACCTCCATCTCCTACCGACCAACCTCATCCCGCCCCCTTGACCTGTCCGTCCTCCCTGGACTGACCTATCCCCTTCCTAACTCCCTACCTACACTCACCTTTCCTGGCCCCATCCCCGCCTCTTCGACCTGTTTGTTTCCTCTCCACCTATCCTCTCCTCTATCCCTCTTCTATCCGCCTCCCACTCTCTCCCTATTTATTTCGGAACCCCCTTCCCCTCCCCCTTTTCTGATGAAGGGTCTAGGCCCGAAACGTCAGCCTCTCTGCTCCTATGATGCTGCTTGGCCTGCTGTGTTCATCCAGCCCTGCACCTTGTTGTCTCGGATTCTCCAGCATCTGCAGTTCCTACTATCTCAAATATCAAGTCATTTGGTGAAGTTCAGATTTTGGTCTTCTGAAGTGCTTCGCTCACTCAAATATGCATGTTACTCAAAACAACATCAAAGCTTGATTCATTTGGTGAAGTCGAGATTCTTCACTTCTGAAGTACTTATTTCACTGGAGGAAGCCTGTTAGTCAATCCAACATCAAAACCTGAGTCAATTAATGAAGTTCACATTTTGGTCTAATGAAGTGCTTATCTCACTCAAATAAGAATGTTAGTCAAAACATCATCAAAACTACAGTCATTTGGTGAAGTTCAGGTTTTGGTCTACTGAAGAGCTGAACTCGCTGTAATAAACATTTTTTCCAACCAGCATCAAAAGTTGTGTCATTTGGTGAAGTTGACATCTTAGCATTCTGAAGTGTTTAAATGGTTGAAATAAGCTTGTTAGTCAAACCAACATCAAAACTTGAGTCATTTGTGAGGTTCAGATTTTGGTTTTCTGAACTGCTTATCTCACTGAAAGCGCATGTTAGTCAAAACAGCATTAAAAATTAAGTCATTTACTGAAGTTGAGATTTTTGACTTCTGAAGTGTTTATCTCACTCAAATAAACATGTTCATCTAACCAACATAAAAACTTGAGTTATTTTTTGAAGTTCAGATTTTGGTCTTCTGAAGTGCTTATCTGATTGTAATAAGCATGTTAGTCAAAACAGCATAAAAAAAATTAAGTCATTTGGTGAAGTTGAGATTTTTGACTTCACAAGTGCTTATCTCACTTAAATAAGCATTTTAGTCATACCAGCATCAAAAGTTGAGTATTTTGGTGAAGTTGCGATTTTGGACTTCCGATATGCTTATCTAACTGAAATAAGCAAGTTAGTCAAAACAACATCAAAAATTGAATCAGAGATAGTAGGAACTGCAGATGCTGGAGAATCCGAGACAACAAGGTGCAGGGCTGAATGAACACAGCAGGCCAAGCAGCATCATAGGAGCATCTTTTCTGATGAAGGGTCTCGGCCCGAAACGTCAGCCTCTCTGCTCCTATGATGCTGCTTGGCCTGCTGTGTTCATCCAGCCCTGCACCTTGTTGTCTCGGATTCTCCAGCATCTGCAGTTCCTACTATCTCTGATTCAAGATATGCTCTAATCTTTTATCATATTTCCTAATTCTAATTTCTAGTAGCATGACTTAATTAAGGGTTTATAAACTTGGAGTAAGCCGGAAAAGGATAGCAAATAATTATGAAGCCAAATGTCAGTAATCATTTATTGCAACTGGATAGGAGTACAGGGATTGAGATGTTTTGTTAGAATTTGAATGGGGCTTTGATAAGATCGCATCTGAAATATTGAGTGTAGTTTCCACATTTAACAAACAAAACACTTGAAGTGGAGGAAGTATAAAAAATAGTTTCAGGAAATTATTTCCTGGGTTGTGTAGGTTGCCCTATGATGAGTGGCTGAAAAAATTAGTTTTGTATTTCTGAAGATTTGAAGAATGAGTAGTAAGCTCATTGAAGCATATAAGGTTCTGAAGCAACTTGGAAGGATACATGTAGCGGGATTTATTCATCTGAACAGGGCACCTACATTATGAGGGCTCAATCTCATGATGTGGGGCCACAAATTTAGGGCTGTGTAGATGAGAAATGTTTTACACAAACATTTTGAGAATCTTTGCAATCCTTTGCCCCAGAGGGTTGAAGAATGTGCATTGTTGAACATGTTTAAAGTTTGAAAAGAGAGATTTCAGGTCAGGAGGTCAAGAGATATGGGGAGCATACAGGAAAACGGTTTGAAGCCAAAGATAAGCCACAATCATACTGAATTGCAGAGCTGGCTTGATAGATCACACAGTCAGTTCTTGCTCCTATTTTCTGAGTCCTTGTAGAAGGACAATGATAGAACTTGCATGCTCACCTCTTGTTGAAGTTAGTGATATTGTAATTGGTGTTACTTCAGTTATCGATTCTGTCGTAGAGCTCTCAGCCAGTGTAGATGCTTTTCTACTTGTTGCAGCAGGAGCTGATGTGGAGGTTTGTGCTGCAGTGGATGTCTGTGTATTTACAGTCAAATGTTCTGTTGCTACTGCTATTAAAATAGGTAACAGACTTATTCAGGTGTACAAAATGCACTGTAACATCCTAGCACTGCAGCAAAAAAGTAAAATTCCTAGTTTAGTATATAATGCGAATTATTAACAAATGTGACATGATCATGTTGCAAAGCAGCAATCAACAAATTGTATTAGTACATCATTCTAAACTGCATTGACAGCATGCTGTGTTCTACTGCTATATTTTAATTGTGTGCTGTTGAACTTGCTGTTGAGTGTAATAAATCAGAATGGTAGAACAGGGAAAAAACAAATCAGATTCTCACCACTTGTTAAAGGAAGTGATGTTCTCATTGTCGTTGCATCAGTCAGGCTTGCTGTAGACATTTCTGCTACTGTATTTGTTGATCCAGGAGCTGATATAGAGCTTGGAGCTGTTGTGGATGTCTGTGAACTTGCTGTCAATGTTTCTGCTGCTGTTATTAAAATAGGCAAGATCTATTAATGATGGAAATGTGGGGGATGGAAGAATGTCAGGCTTTGCTGAGTTTGAATCTCACATAATAATAGAAGAATACATATGGAAGAATGTGTTTGTTTTTTGTATAATAGTTGGCTTTAGATTTTGTTCAAACTCATACAAAAAGTTAAAACTAAGATGCATTGTGACCTGATTAGAACAGCAGAAACTCACCTGGAAGCAGATATGATAGGAAAGTTTAAGAGGCGTTTAGAACAGGCAGACAACAAAGGGATACAGACCATATGCAGACAGATGGGATTAGTTTTGGATAGCATCATGGCCATCACTGACATGGTGGGCCGAAGGGCCTATTCCTGTGCAGACCTGTTCTGTTTTATGTTCTCTGGGTGTTCTGCATATCATTAGCACTCCATGCATATAGCCAACAATATATCACAAAAACGATTACATCATTTTCCAGTACAACTTCTATCCTTCAGCTACTTGAAAGAATTCATAAAAGAGCACTTGCACAATGTGCTTTTGTATACCTACCAGTTGTTGTTGAGATTGACAGAGTGAATGTCATTGCTTCAGTTGTTGACCCTTCAGTAGCGCTCAGTGTTGATGTTGATGCAGTTGTTCTTGTTGAGGCAGGAATAGAGGAAGATGTTGTTGCTGCTGTGGCGATCTTTGTACTTGCAATCGATGCTTCTGCCACTGTTAGTAAAATAGACATGACATGTTAGTGAGAGAAATGCTGATTATGGAAGACTGTATTAATTTAATCCATAGGAGCTGTGGTTCTAGGTTTTGTTTGAAACTCAGATAAAAAGATCATACAAAGAAGTATCCTGGCCTTGCTGTAACAGCAAAATATCACCAAGAGTGTTTTGCATATCATTGGCACGCCATACATTGAGATTGACAGGTTTGAAAATGGATCAGTTCAAAAGAGTGCTGTCACATAGCATTTGTTGAGGGAATTGATGTAGTGACTGTTATTGCTTCAGTTACTGGTGTTTCACTTGAGCTCACTGTAGTTTCTGATGTCCCGGTCATTGTTGATAAAGGGGCAGAAGTAGAGGTTTGTACTGCGTGGATGTCTGTGTATTTACAGTTGAAGTTTGTCTTTCTGCTGTTGGTAAAATAGATGATTAACTTAATGAGGTGTACAAAAATCATTGAACAATGTGAAATATTAGAGCCAAAAAGTCACCTTCTCAGTTTGAAATATGATGCAACTTATTGCCCAATGTGACACGGTCATGTTGCGAAGCAATAATCAGCAAATTGAATTTGTACGTTATTCCGCACTGCGTTATTGGAATCAACATCAAACTCTACTGTTATGATTCTTTGTGCCTCATTATACTCAAAGTAGAGTGAAAGAAATCCGAATGGAACAGCAGCGAATACAGAAATTGTACTCACCACTTGTTGAAAGAAGTGCTGTTGTCACCATTATTGCTTCAGACATTGATGCTTCCGTTGAGCTTGCTGTAGATGTTTCTGCTGCTGTACTCGATGAAACAGGGGCTGATGTAGAGGGCAGTGCTTCTGTTGACGTCTGTGTTTTTGTTCTCAATGTTTCTGCCGCTGTTTTTAAAATAGGCATGACTTGTTATTGAGAGATATTCTGGTTATGGGATACTGTATCAGTTTAATGCATAAGATTTGTGGTTCTAGGTTTTGTTCAAAACTCAGATTAAAAAGGAAGTACTAAGAAGCATCCTGATCTTCTTGTAACTGCAGAACATCACCATGAGTGTTTTGCATATCTTTAACAACTGCATGCATTAAACCAACAATATATCACAATATCTTTACATTAGTTTCCAGTCTGCATTTCTATATTGCAGCAGCTAGAAAGTGTTTATAAAAGAGTTGTTGTGAAGTGCACACACAGAGTGAATGTCGTTGCTTCAGTTGTTGACCCTTCAGTAGCGCTCAGTGTTGATGTTGATGCAGTTGTTCTTGTTGAGGCAGGAATAGAGGAAAGTGTCGTTGCTGCTGTGGAGCTGTGTATACTCGCAGTCAATGTTTCTGTCACTGTTGTTCAGACAGTATTGGGGTAAACACGGAACATGGCTCAATTTATTACAGATTTTGTATAAAATTTGTGCTTAATACTGTGTTACATTCATATACTATGCAAGGTGCTGCATAATGTAATTTAAGCTTATAACAGAGCTAAAGGAAACCAGCACTGATTAATATGTGTATTTCCCATGCAGGGTTATAGCCAACAACATAGTACTATAATGTTTAAATGCTTTTCCAGTGTGTGTTTCTAACTTCCAGGAGTTTGGTAGGATTAAGAGTGGAATGGTTCCACAGGGTGCTTTCACATATTCACCATTTGTTGAGTGGAGTGATGTAGTGACTGCTAATGCTTCAGTCAATTGCCAGAAAACCCATCTGGTTCAACAGTGTCCTTTAGGGAAGGAAAGGCCACCTGTACCTTTGTCTGGTCTATGTATGAGTCCAGACCCACAGAAATGTGGTTGACTCTTGACTGCCCTCTGTACAGTTAGGAATGGGAAATAAATGCTGGTCCAGCAAGTGATGCATTCACCCCCTGAATAAATTTTTAAAAAATTTTTGATGCTTCACTTGTGCTCGCTATAGTGGTTTGTATAAGTGAACTTGTTGATACAGGAGCTGACATGAACATTTGTGTTGCAGTGGATGTGTGTGCGTTTATAGTTTACGGTGGTGGTTGCTGCTGGTGGTGGTTGAAATGCGGTGTATATAAAGCACTGAAAAATCATTCTATTTTCATGTGCAGAAATGAGATGAATACCTGAATGTTTGCTGTTGTTCGATTTCTGCTTTTTGAAGAGCAGATAACAGGCTTAAAGAGGTGCAGAAAAAACATGGTACCACTTCCAACTATCATGGCCAAAACCTTGCCTTCTTGGTCCCATTTATGATGCAACTATTGACTAATATAACATGACCATGTTGCAAAGCAGGAATTAGCAAATAGTATTTTTAAAGTATTCTACTCTGTGCAATCACATCCAACCTCATTTCATATTATTTTAATACCTATTGCTTGTGTTTTTGTAAACGTGCAGTAAAGTGAGGTGACAGCACTCATACTCACCACTTGTTGTGGCGAGTGGTGTCACTGTCGTTGTTGCAGATGTTGATGTTTGTGCTGCTGTACTTGTTGAGGCAGGAGCTGATGTAAAGCTTGCAGCTGTCATAGAGGTCTGTGTACTTGTAGTCAATGTTTCTGCCAATGTTATTAAAGTCGGTATGTATTGTTATGGAGGGAAATGCAAAGTATAGAAACATATTTTTTTTTGCACAATGGAGATGCTTGAAGTATTGTTCAAACTCACATGTAATGACAGATAATAAGATGGAAAATGGCCTTGTTATAACAGAAGTAAGTGTCCAAACATTTCTGTATTTTGTTAGCACTCCATGCACATTGCCAACAATGTATTACGACACTCTTTTGTTTGCTCCATTGTGTGCTGTTATCTTCCAGTAGTTTATAAGATGTCAGAAAAAAATTTGTTGCAAAGTGTGCTTGCCGCTTTGCCATTTCTGCCACTTTTATTGAAACAGGTTTTATTATTGAGCTTACGAGATGGCATAAAACAATATGTTAAATATCTTGCACAATATAGTGCTTGATATTTTGTTACAAACATACATGATGCAAGTTATAACATAATGTAACATTGTGTTGTTGAAACAGAGCAAACTTATGCCCAGAGTCATCAGCATGTGATTTCCCATGCATCACCAACCACATAATGCTATATTCTTTTGTTACCTTTTCACTGTGTGTTTCCAATGTTTGAGTTTGACAGGATTGGGAATGGAATAGCTCCAAAGCGGGCTACATACTCACCATTTGTTGAGGGCACTGATGTAGTGACTGTCAGTGCTTCAGCTGTTGATGCTTCGCTTGAGCTCCCTACAGTTGTTGGTGATCTTGTACTTATGGAAGCAAGAGCTGATGTAGAGGTTTGTGCTGCAGTGGATGTCCGTGCATTTACACTCAACATTTCTGTTGCTGGTGTTATTAAAATAGTAGTCAGACTTAACAAGACATGCAAAAGAATTGAACAACAGCTTAATCCTAGTCTTGTTGCAGCCAAATGCCACCTTCTTAGTCTCACATATAATGCAACTTGTTGATTAATGGTATGTGTTCAAGTTCCAAATCAGTAAGCAGCAAATTGCACTTGTACATTATTCAATGCTACAAAAATGTAGTGATGATATATTTTGATTGATACAATTGTGTTGTGTGTTATTAATATGTAGGAGAAAGAAACAAACTAGAATAGTAGAACAGAGGAGACAGCAGTCATATATCTACCAGTTGTTGGAGAAAGTGATGTTGTAAGAAAGTGGTACGAGAGAGGAGGGCACTGGTACTCACCAGTTGTCGTGGCGAGCGACATCACTGTCGTTGCTTCAGATGTTGATGTCTGCGTCGAGCTTGCTGTAGATGTTTCTGCTGCTGTACTGGGTGAGGGACGAGCTGTTGTAGAGGTCAGTGCATCTGTGGATGTTTGTGAACTTACACTCGATGTTTCTGGTGCTGTGATGAAACGACATACACATGGATATTAAGGAACTGAATTGGCGAGAACAATGTGTAAATGTTTTAACAGAAATGGTATCCAAGTATCCTTCATACACATATGACGAGATACCAAGAAATATAACATGGTCTATTGGTACAACCAGGATAACGCCAAGGATGTCGCCTATTATAACCTGCGGCCAAATAAAGTCAGCATCATGCAACTTAAATATACACTTGTGTTTCATG